CCTCTTATTGTCGTCGCCTTGGCTACACTGCAGTGGAGACTCATCTTCCAATGGAATGCGAAATTGATTGTCCGCCTGGATGAAGGCGGAGGCAGTAGAAAGCTGTAGGTTGTGATTTCTCCACTTACTTCATCCACCACGTTGTTGCCTCTTGACGTACTCGACATTGAGGTTGGAAGAGGCGAGAAGTCATTCGACATTGACATTCTCCTCTCCCTACCAACTGAGATCATCGAGAAACCACATTGAGGTGATTTAAAATTTGTCTCACAGTTTTCTGCACTTCTTCCTCCTTCATTCCACTCTTGTTTTGCTGCCATCGGTGTCGCCTTTGCTATTGTTTTTATTTAATGTTAATTTGTAATTCTCCCTCTCCTTCATTCGCATCACATTACCGCTTTCCGTAAAGAATTATTTTAGTGTATTTTACACCATCCATTGTCTCTTCAGGTGACTCAATTGCACTAATTTCTGTTCTGTGAACTCATTTGTGTTGTCTTCGAGGCGCTTCTGTGTGTCACCACCAATCACGTGGTTATCAGCGAGTGTGTGTGTGTGTGGGTGGGTGTCGGTCTTCCCGACTGTGGCCATAAAACGTTGTCAAGAGGTCATCGTCTATTGTAGACGTCAATTGGACCAACTGTTGCTACCTTTACGATGACAGCCTTTAATTGACTTCCATTCACTCATTCATCACCTCTCTTTTCACCAAAACTCACATCAGAGGACTAACCACCTCCCACTTCCCCTCCTTTTAGGCGCTTTTAACACATGCATGAGACCTTGTGACACCATTTTGGCATGTCTCTACATTGTGACACTAACAGATGACTTGTGTGCATATCACATCCACTTCTTGTTCACATTCTACTCGTTTATCACACCTATCAGTCATCTATTTCTCGCCTTGTCGCTTTCCACGTCTACTTCACTTCTTTATTAGCTCCTCCTGTAAAAGTGGTACCCACAAACACGTGGATTACCTCAACCGCTAATCCACATAAGTTGAATGACTACGTGTAGACTGTGGTAATGTCAACTAGTCCATGGGGGTGAACAAATATAAAACTCCTGAAACGTCATTTTGGTGGATTTCACTTCACTTTGTCCTCAAACTGGTGAGTGAGCCAATTGAGGAGGTAGTCAAGACGACAGCGAAACTGTTAGCCACCTTTGCAGGGATTGCAGTTGTTCTGCAATTCAATCCCCACCTCTTCACAAGGAGAGTGGTAAGGGCGGAAGCATTGCAAAAGGTAATCGTCATTGTTGTAGGCCGAAGAACAAAAGCCATGTTAAGGCGGATTTGACAACGGTCTCATGTAATGACAATGTTGAGTGTTTTAGAAGTTTTCATAACTAAAGCCTGAAACAGGAGGGTTAGTTAAGCCTTCCACACTGTATAAAATTGTACATAATTTGAAGCTGCCAACTCCAAATCGGAGTATCATGAAAAGTAGCCTATCTGTGGCGGTCTTCGAGACGTCAAAGCCTCACTCCACAGAGCAGTGTTTTCCTCCCCACAGAGGCAAAATCCAGACTCGTCGTGATTGTATGAAGCAGACTTCGTGACTTGAGGGGTTTGCTAGGAGAACATCAAAAAAAAAAATGTAAACAAAATCTGATCTGCAGAGTTTTCCACCTACATTGAATGGTGCAACCATTGCTTCACTTAGCTGAGCGTCAAGCATTTTTAATGGAGACGAATGAAGGCATAAATGTTGACCTCCTTGGTGGTTCCGTCCTACCACTGCCCACTTCCACGGGGTAGACTAGGCAGAGGTTGTGTGGACGAGTTGATTGGATGGAGATTTAAAGCACTCACCACACCTTCTACTCCACCTTGCCACACGATTTGAAGAGAAGGAGGGAAAGAGGGAGTTAGTGAACGCTTAGGAGAGGAAGCAGTGCCATCTACTGAGAAATTGTGTTAGGGTGGACAGTGATTTCAAGGCGATGGCAGACCACAGTCATGATGTGAACACGTGGAGTAAACACAAGAACCGAATGCTAACAAGGAATGGCGCAAATAGATCACCTGAAGGCGTCACAATGTCTGAGCACACGAAAAGGCGATCACGAATGATCACGAACCGAATTGCATGTAGGTACTGACAGAGTATATAAAGTGGAGAGACGATACTCCGAAGTAGCCATTCAAAGGGCTCGAATGCGTTCCAGAAGAATTCAATTGGCAAGAAGGCGAAAAAGGTGATGAATGACGGCGAAGGCGAACAGCCCAACAAGAAGGCGAATGGAGGAGAGAGAAAGGATAAAAAGAAGCATGAAGACTTCTTGGAGGTTATCTCAAAAGTAGCAAAACAAATATACGAACAAATTGCAGAATTCTTTGAGAAGTGGATGTCAAACCTGACAGAAGAGCAGCAGTTTAAGGATAAATCAAGTAGAACAGAGTCGGAAGATAAAGGAGGGTTAAGTGTATGCGGAAGAATTATCAAAATACCGGGTTGTAAAGGGAAGGAAGGAAGTAGCGAAGGAAGAAAGGAGCCACCAGGCGAGGAAGATGAGAAAATGAAGAAGTTAGGCGTTAAAGGAGATGAGGAACCTGGAGAAGGAGGAGATAAGAATGCTGGTGAAAAGGAAAATAAGAAGTTAAACGGTGGTGGAGAGGAGGAAACTGGTGAAAAACAGGCAGGCAATGGAGAGGGGGGTGTCAGTGAAGGAAAAAATGACGAGCAACAGGATGATGAAGAAAAAGGTGATGAGCAGCAAGGGGATGAAGGAGAGGAGGAAGGTGAAGAGGAGAAGGAAGGTGAAGGGGAACAAGGAGATGAAGAAGGAGGAGAGGAGGAGGAGGAGGAGGATGGGGACGAAGGAGAGGAGGAAGGTGAAGAGGAGAAGGACGATGAAGGGGAGCAAGGAGATGAAGAAGAAGAGGAGGAGGAGGAGGATGAAGGAGGG